GCCCGCTGCGCTCACATCACCCGCGACCTTGCGCACCTCTCTCTCTCTCTCTCTCTCTCTCTCTCTCTCTCTCTCTCTCTCTCTCTCTCTCTCTCCCTCTCTCTCTCTCTCTCTCTCTCTCTCTGCCCCGCCGCTAGCCACTACACTGCCCTTCACGGTGCTCCCCCACCGCGCACGCATCGTTGCACTCCGAGGTCGCACCATGCCACACATGCCACTCGCCGCTCCCCCACCATGCACGTGTTGATGCCGCCCTTGGCCACACTACCCCGTCACAACACCACCGACTCCGCGCCCGCCGTAGCCCGCTGCGCTCACATCACCCGCGACCTTGCGCTCACCTCTCTCTCTCTCTCTCTCTCTCTCTCTCTCTCTGCCCCGCCGCTAGCCACTACACTATGCCCTTCACGGTGCTCCCCCACCGCGCACGCATCGTTGCACTCCGAGGTCGCACCATGCCAAACATGCCACTCGCCGCTCCCCCACTATGCATGTGTCGATGCCGCCCGTGGCCACACTACCCCGACTACACTCCCTGCGCTCGGCCATAGCAGCTTCACAGCCCGCACCCCACTGCTGGCCCTCTGCTGCGCCACACCCACGCACTGCACAGCGCACACGACCACCACTGATCCCCGCGAGCCAACGGTCCGATAACGCGATCTCGCCCACAAAAAACTCCGCAGGCTACTGCCACACCGCCCACCACGAAACGCTGCCACACACGCCGCCCCGGCCGATTTCTCTTGCCCCAGTCCTGCTAGCAGTCTTACCCCGTGAACCAATACCCCCGCGTGCTGCCACGAAAGCCCGTCGCAAATACGGTCACCCCCGTGCAGGCCCCCGCGAACCGACGCGCCCTCCTCGGTCCCCTGCGGCACTCCGCACGGAACTCCTTGCCCGATATTCGCTGGGCCCGTTGGGAGCGTCAGCTCGAACCGCTTTTTCCTTTATAAGAGTACAGAAGAGAAGGGGGACCGCGGCCATCGCTTGGTTTGGCCATTTCTTTCACTGGGTACAGGGCGTCACCACACTACTCACCAAATGCACAGAGGACAAAAAATCATGGCAATGCATCTTTCGAGGTTCTAGTGAAAGAAGGGGGACAGCGGCCATCTAGTCGCTTGGTTTGGCCATTTCTTTTTCACTGGGTACAGGGCCCCACCGCAGTACTCACCAAATGCACAGAGGATAAAAAATTATGCTTTCCAGGTTCTAGTGAAAGATCCGTTCTCATTTTGTACATTCGGTGTGGCACGGCGAGACCCATGCTCACATTGGGACTTCTTCAACTTACCTCCGGATGTAGAATGTCGTGAGTCTTGCGCGCTCAGACCCCAGTGCCGTGAGCAGGTGCATCCGGTAGTGAAGGTAGGTCGCATTGGCGAGCAGGTAGGTCGGGTAGGTGGGTGGCGCCGCGGGTACTGTTCGGGCGATGATCTGGGGAACGGACAGCGTGCATTGAAGGCCGATCAAAAAGGAGAAAACAAATCTTTTTTTCTTTGTTTTTCTTTTTTTTTCATTTTTTTGATAGGCTACCAGCCGGGCCGCCCGGGTCCCAGGTGGCCAGCCCGTGCAAGGACCAGGGAAGGTCCCAACCAAAAA